CCTCATTTTGACACAAATATTATTTAGTAGCCGACGACACAAATCAAGATTATTTCCTTTCTGGTGTGGAAGATCAGACTAAGCTGCAACCACAGAGCATACTCAGACAGAACCTTGACTCAGTTACCAAGATAAATCTTTTCTGATGTGGAAGATCAGACTATGCTGCAACCACAGAGCATACTTAGACAGTACCTTGGCTCTGATACCAATTGTTGCGGAAGCCAAATGTATATAGTGTGAATAAGTCACAACTACTATACCAAAAGAACACCTACCAATTGTTGCGGAAGTCAAATGTATATAGTGTGAATGAGTCACAATTACTATACCAAAAATTATGACAACCACTAAATAATAAACAAGACAATAAGACAAAAATAAAAGAATACCAGAATTTACGAGGTTCGACCAATTTTGCCTACTTTCTCGGACACAATCAATATTTTATTCTACTCCAAAATTACAAGTGAAATAATACTAAAGAGAGAAGATACAAATGCCTTAAACAGATGNTCAATATTTTATTCTACTCCAAAATTACAAGTGAAATAATACTAAAGAGAGAAGATACAAATACCTTAAGAAGATAAAAAGGCAAATGAGAGGTGTACTTAAATCCTAAATATTAGGCCTCCTTTTATATGGTGAAATTTCCATTCAAAATTGTCAATCCAGCGACGCGGGACTTTTGACAATTTGAACGGGTAATACCTACTGTCTCGCTACTTACTTTTGATGATTTTATTACTAAGATGGATCTCCTTTTTAGAGATGATCAATTTCTCTATTATTTGTTTTAAGGATGAGGAAATAAAAATCCAAAAATTGATGTTGCAGATGGTAGGAACCATTCACCATAAGACTCGTCGACTAGTAAGTAACACACTTGCCACATAAGCTTAAGATAACATATTTCCACGTGTAAATCTCCGCACCACACTCAAATACTCATCCCCTATAGATATTTAGGTTTACAAACTTGTGGATTTGGATAGATAGAAATTTATGCTTCTACACTTACTACTTTTGCGCTAATTCAAAACCAATCTCAGATTTTTTTTTATTTTTATTTTCCTCTGTTTTCTTCATCAATGTCTACTATCTGATTTCCAAGAACCCATTTTTATTCCCATGGCTTTGCCTCAAATCTTACCTTCTTCTTCTTCTTTCACTCACAAACCCCACTTAATAAACCCTAGTAATAATTTCTTTTTAACCCCTCAATCTAATCCCCAATGTCACTTTACCCCTCAATCACTCCTCCACCGCCGCCGCCGCCGTAATAACTACACTCTCCGTTGCTCCGCTTCATCATTCCCTGAGAAACACCACACCGGCAGCTCACCCAACTCCGACGACGTCGTTGAGCTCCCACTTTTCCCTCTCCCTCTCGTCCTCTTCCCCGGCGCAATCCTCCCTCTCCAAATCTTCGAGTTCCGTTACCGTATAATGATGCATACACTCCTCCAAACCGACCTACGTTTCGGCGTTATTTACTCCGATAGCGCTACCGGCACCGCCGACGTCGGCTGCGTCGGCGAAGTCGTTAAACACGAACGCCTCGTCGACGACCGGTTTTTTCTAATCTGTAAAGGTCAAGAGCGGTTCCGGGTCAGTAAACTCGTCCGGTCCAAACCGTATTTAGTTGCTGAGGTGACGTGGCTGGAAGACCGTCCGTCAGCTAACGGAGAAGATGACGTGGAAGGTTTAGCTAACGAAGTGGAAAATTACATGAAAGACGTGATCCGTTTGTCTAACAGATTGAACGGGAAAGCTGAAAAAGAGGCAACAGATTTACGACGGAATTTATTTCCGACGCCGTTTTCGTTTTTCGTTGGGAGTACGTTTGAAGGAGCCCCACGGGAACAACAAGCGTTGCTTGAGTTAGAAGATACAACTGTAAGATTGAAAAGGGAAAAGGAGACTTTGAGGAATACTTTGAATTATTTAACTGCTGCTTCTGCTGTTAAGGATGTCTTCCCATCTTCGTGATGAAAAATGACTTGTTAGGTTGGTTTACTTATTATTAATGGAAATCGCGGTTTCTGTAATTTATATACACGGTGATGATGAATTGTGTTATGAATTTGTAAATTTTGATGCCTAATACTAGTTTCCAAAGGTTTTATAGTGTTGGTCTTGGTTTATGTTTTGCTGCAGTTGTTTGGATGGATTAACTTCTGCTGAAATTGTGTGTTTTCCGTGCAACTCGAATTAGTTTGAATATGAATTGATCGAAAAGCAATGATCTTTTTAGGCTTGTAAGTGAGATAGATTTTATGATCCATCTTTGATTTCAAGCAGTTAATGTTAGCTTATTATATTATCCAAAGCCCAAAGCAATGATCTACATTCATGTCTTTAGCAATATTGAGAATGTAAGCTAAACCAGCAAGGGAAGAACACTCTCTTACACACGGGAGTTTAACATCTTCTCTTGCTAGTTACTCTGTTTATATACACAAATATATGCTGCAGTCTTGCATCATGTTCTCTCTTCAGGAGTATTTTACTATGCTTGCAACAGTCTAATTACGATGTCCATCACTGCGTAGTGTTGCTGTCAATCTATGACAGCAACTATGCTGCAAGAGTAGTTTTTTAGTTATAGGTACGTTGATCTACCTCCTTAGTTTGAATATGAATTGATCAATAAGCAATGATCTTTTTAGGCTTGTGAGTAGTTGTATACGATCTTTGATTTCAAGCAGTTAATGTGATCTTGCATCCAGCATCTTCGGCAGTAGGGATTAGGGAGATTGCCTTAGTTTGAATATGAATTGATCAAAAAGGAATTATCTTTTTAGGCTTGTGAGTATGTGTATACCATCTTTGATTTCGAGCAGTTAATGTGATCTCGCATTCAGCATCTGCAGATGCTAGCTAAACCAGCAAAGAAAGAGTAGTCTTTTGCAGATGGGGGCTTTAACATCTTCTCTTGCTAGTTACTGTGTTATTACACACAACTGGATGCTGCAATCTTGTATCATGCTCTCTTCTTCTTCAAAGAGTTATGATTAAAAATGTTCAGGAGTATTTTACTATCTCACAGCAGTCTAATTACAACGTCCACCAAGTGGAAAGAACTGTGAAGCATTTCGTCTAACTATGACAGCAACTATGCTGCAAGAGTAATATTTAGTAACATGCACTTTGATTGCCTTCTTAGTCCTTGGTCCATCAGTATTCTTGCTGTCTTTAGTACTGCAAAGGTATGTAAGGTTTAACTGTTTAAGTTGTACCGTTTTGCTGAAAATTTTGGATCTCAATAACAGATGGCCAACCCTGAACCCACACTATGCATTCTCATAAGCCAGAGAGACATTGCATCACGACTGTTTTTCTTTACAGTGATCTTCAAATTTCAGCTTACTGATGAAAACATCTTTTCTTGCTAATGTTGAGACTAGAAGTTGCAAATGTTACCAACTAGCTCCCAGCTGCACTCTTGGGGACTTAATGTGAAGATGTATCTGCTTTAAAGGACAGTTCTGTATTTGAAGCTGGGGGACTGTTGGAGCAGGATGAAGTAATTAAAACCCCTGCAAAATTACCATTCTGAAAAGAGTAAAATAGTGGAATAAACCTAAAAATGTTCCTTCAAGGCTCCAGCTCTCGACCTTGTGGCAGCTGATGTTTTGTCCCTCATCTGATGAAGTAGCCATTTCCTTTCTATTGTCATTTTCCTCAAAACCGAAAACAAATTTATAGCGCTAAGAAGAGGTTAGTCTACCTGAAGGGTGAGATGCAAACCATTCATAATTTTTTGAAAATTTTCAATGAAAAATCATTAGGATGCTCAGAGAACTCAAACTTCCCCCCTCACCAACAAGGCGCGACAGTCATTCTCAAACGGGGAAATCTTAGCTGATTAAGAATAGCAGGTCAGTTATCATATTTGCTAGAACACCTATTAATGTTCATTACAGAGATTTACTTTGATTGTATAAATATCTTAGAACTTAATGTTAAATAATGCATCAACAGTTTCTCTGTTTGCTTATATGTAACTATAAACAAACAAATGCTGCGATCTTAAGTCATGCTCTCTCTTCCTCAAAGAGATTAACGAATAGCAATGTTTATGAGTATTTTCCTATGCTCTCAGCAGTCTATTTGCAGAATCCACCATTGCATGCGCCTCCAATTAGATTCATTGAAGGTTTTGTATATGAGGCAACAGCTTGCCCCTGTATAAGCTGAGGTAAAAGATGGTATAATTTGCACTCATGATATTATTGGAATTGATGGGGACAAAGGACTTCCAGAAAACAAGATGAATACCCACCTTCAACATGCAAGCTCAATGGAAATGATAGATTGCTTTCCAAAACATATTTCACCCAACCGAACACTTATGTAGTAATATATAATATATAGTTTCAAGAATCTACTACTACTACTATTGTTTATGAGATGAAAGGAATAGCTCAGCAGTTCAACTACTAATTTTTTAACAGAATAATATAGTAACATGGTGATAACAAGGTCATCATCTGAAATCTGAAATACTACTAAAATACAAGCTGATAACGTGATGCAAGAGTTACAGTGGGAATTATATCTGACCACCAGCGACAATATCAGATTTTGCACTGACAATATTATATTTAGCAACAACAAAATATATACCTACTTACTAAGGGGTAGATGTGTACCCCACATAGTGTAATTACCGAGCTAAACATTTCCGTGCTCTAAACTCACAACATCATGAATATGGCTAAAAGATAATGATGCTGTGGCAAGCTCCTACACCTAGAAAGGGTAAATGAGACCTCCGAACTTCCCAGAAAATGCTTCCTTCTGAGGCTGTTGCACTATAGTTGCATTGCTCATTCGCTGCATTTAAAACAAATTAACTGTGAAAACTACAGTAGCAAAAGGTTAAAGAAAACGAACATGAATAGCACGTCAAGAGAAATTGGCTTTGCTTTAACGGTTATTTCATCTCTGTCAACAATGAAATGGCAATGAGTGAACCTTTTCAGAATAAGTTGGCTTATCTCATTAATGAGAGACAGATAACAAGAGATGTCTCCTCTAATCTCTAAATTGATATTTCATGTTGTATGGATCCTAATAGGATGAGAAATGCATCAAATACAGAAAGGAATGGCAGAAGTGGAGATATACCTTGAGGCAGAGGTTCCGACTTGTGTCACAAATAGGATAATCATGTGGGCAACAGTGGCGTCCATCTTTGCAACACACTGCAGAATCCAACCCACAACATTTCCAAGAAACGCAAACTCCAAGAAGCCTCCACCCACAGCAGCAGGTTTCACCTTGACCACATGAGGTAAACATACTGCATTTGCTTGGACCAGGAGATGGAGGAGATGGTGGATTTGGGCTACTCTTAGTTGGATATGAAGCTAGCTTATTGATCCCACATATCCCTTCTTGATTCCCACTATTACGCTGCATGTGCATATAACCATTTATTCCCCAGCTTGTTCCCCATGAATTTTTTATAATCCAGTAATCAACTCCATTTTCAGAACCATAGCCCACAATCAGTACCGCATGATCAAGTACTGTAGAACACGGTCCAGTGAATATCCCCTGCAACACAAAGATAGCACCTTTATATTTCTCTCCGACAAACAATTTAACTGATTAGGAGATTGGTAATTTGGAGATGGAAGATACCTTTGAATATGATTGAAATGCTCTCTCACTGCCGCATATCCCAACACTCACGGGTTGATTTGCCACCGCCTTTAGAAGCTTGTCCTCATCATATTGGGGAACATCAGTATATCCATCAATGGTTACAACACGTCTTTGTAGCTGCAAAGTCGACAAGTTAAGCCAAGCAATCATATGTTAACGTTGTTCATTATGTTTTATCTGGAATAAACTTGTCCTAGGTTCTCTATATTAATTATGAAATCCAGAAGCAGGAGGGCATATATAGGACAAAAAAAGATTTAGTACAAGAATAGGAGCAAGAAGATGAGAGAACAATTATGTACCTTGTTTTTGTTGCATGTTCCTTCTCTTTCATTAAAGGGGTAATCCTCTTCAGTGTCAATACCACCATTCTTTTTGACAAATTCAAAAGCATAGTCCATCAATCCACCTCCACAGCCGTCATTGTAACTTTTGTCGCAATCAATTAACTCCTGCTCAGAGAGACTTACAAGAGATCCAGTGACAATCTTATTGATACCTTCGATTGCTCCAGTGGCTGAGAATGACCAGCAAGCACCTGGGAAAATGAAACAGAAGTAACTGGTTTTAGTTACAGAAGCTAGTTGCTGAGATTAAGTATATGGAATGACAATAGAATGACAGTGTTGTGGACAAGGGCAAATTTGATTCATATTATCTCAGAACAAATTCACAAAAAGGCTAGATCTTCACTTCCGTCCTATATTCAGGCTGACATTACCAGACATATCTACAGAAAATAATTACTTGAGAAACATAAAGGCAGTGATAAATTTTAAGAATAAACTATACTTAGTGAGAATTGTGTGCAGTCATAAAAGTAACAAGTCTAAGTCCCTGAAGCAAATTCTGCATTGGGAGGAAAGTATATTTCCGCGTATATGACAGCCAAATTAGTTGCTATAAAACATCACACTAGTATGTGACTCAATATTGACAGTAAAATTATAAAACATGTTCCTTCGATTGCACAAGCAAGTAGAGAATCATAGGGTACAATTGTGTACACAGTTCCAAAAACAAGAAAGAAGAGCTAAAACAATGAATTGTGAGTCAATGATTCAATGGTCGAAAACAGGACCAAGAAATGGATCAGTGGATATTTATATTTATTTCTATTTTTAAAACTTAAAGGGCATGATGTGAAGACTGAAGCTGGTAATCCAGTTTTGATTGTGATGCACATGAATGGATGTGGAAAGTAATATTCTCTGGAAGACAGAAGACCACTAACCACCTCAGTTGCTCAGACCAAGATAGTGAGTAGATCTCCCCTAATCTATTCAACAAAGTTCATTGGAAAGAAACAAACAATGAAATGGCGGATCTCCGAGCAGTCTGGTGAAGTTTATGGTCCAGTGGTTAAAAAGAATGACAACTCAACCATATTTTACTCCTCCGATGTGCTCCGTTCATGATCTTTTTAATATTTCTCGCTAATCCGCTAATCAATAAAGAATGAGATACTGTATCAGTATGTCCTATTATTGTTGTCTTCCAGTCACTCTGAAGAAATGATTTTCACATACATAGAGACAAAAATTGAAAGTAAGAAACAACAACAACAAACCAGTGGAATCACATAAGTGGGGTCCGGGAGTATAATGTGTACGCAGACCTTAGAGGTTGTTTCTGATAGACCCTCGGCTCAAGAACAGTGAGAAAATTGAAAGTAAGAAACAAACAGTATATTCATTCCTAATCAACTCATGAAAGGACGAGCTCATGAGACTAAGTTTCAACAACAACAACCATATGATTGTTTATTCCACTTCATCTTGATTCCAATACCTAATAATTTGTCTTTTGGGGCAACTCAAGGGTTCCTAAAGCTAAGAATTCTCTAAATCTCACACTTCTCCTTATACAAACATTCAAATCCTAACCAAACTGAAAGTGCTCCTGTCTAATACTGATGAACTAAAGTAAGTGCTGAGGCTAGGTTTCAATGAAGTAAATTAGTCCTGAACTTCAACCTGTCAAATAATACAAGGAAAAGCAAAAAAGGGTAGCTCCCAGACAAGAGAAAAAGGCAAAACTAACATCACAAGTTTCCATTGTCATTTGAGAAAAAAATCATCAAAATCCAAACTTTGTAAAAATTTCTAATGTTGGCTCTACTATGCACAAGTTATATATCCTCCACATAAATGAAATCACTATAAAGATACAACTAAAAGATAACGCAATAAACTGAGCATACCACAACTGCCTTGATTCTTGACTTTAGTAACAGCTCCTTTCTCTCTCCAATCCAAAGAAGAAGGAATATCAACAACACCAACATCATTAAAAACTCCAGCAGAAGACGACCCAGTTTTCAATCTAATAAAATCATTAGCAGAAGAGGACAAACCCAAAAAAGAGTTCTTGAATTCATGGTGAGTGAGATCAGAAAAGGCATTGAGATTAAGGGTATAAGTGGAATTCCCCTTACTATTATGCTCTATAATATAAGCATAATTTTCTTCAAACACCTCGAGTCTGTACACCCTTTCTTGTTCAGAAGAATATGTCTTTCCATTTTGCTGACACCAACTTTCAAAAAGATCAGAAATTGATGAACAAGTGCAAATTGGTCCTTGAAAAATTAGAAGTACAAGAACCAAAGATGGACATAACCAACTCATGTTAGTTAAAGGGTGCCTTAGAAATTGGAGAGGTGGGAGAAAAATGTAAAGGGGGTTGGTTGATTTTTGCAGTTAAGAATAAATATCGGAGCTAGTAACCAAAGATTAAGAGAAACATGGTTTTTTTCTATTGGTACAGAATGGCTCCAAGTTTCTCTTTTGTAAGCCTCCAGATTCTTACAGTCGAAACAAACAATAGGAGTTTTAAGTTTCTAGTCTTTGCTAGTGACAACGACCAATAGAACACGTTTAACAAACAAGGGGAATGATAGTGTCGGATAACTTTGACAGCTTAGAGATAATCGGATACGAATATTTCTTTTTTTTTTTTACCATAATTTAATTTTCTCTAACATATGGCTCAAATTTTGCACTAGTATTTTGACTATTTTTCTAAACCAAATGTACGCCCTTGTTTGCCAATAACATTGAATCACATGAAACACCTTTTAAGTTTGCTTTTCGTACTCATTTCGAATATTACAAAGCTCTCTCGTATTTTACCTTTTTATGTAATTGTCTTTTTATGATAGAAGTGTGGACAATATTTGGTTAAGGTTGAAATAAAAATGAAATTGAAAAATAGTATTGAAAGTTAAAAGTTAAGTTTAGACATATATACTTCATTTAGAAAAAAGTTGAAATTTGTCAGCGAAAACTTTTGTTTAACTTAAATATTCCTTAAATAATACTTTCTGTATTTTAAGAAGAGAAATGGGCCTAAACTATCTCTATTATTTGGTAAATAATTTATAAATATCCTCGGTCTATTTATCCGTTAAAAAATACACACGACGTTAATTATATTAACAAAACCGCCCCCACGTCTAACGGCTGAACCCGTGGCAATTAATAAACCCGTAGGCCTTCAATTTAATAACATGGCAATTTTTTCTTGGGCCACGTGGCAATCTCGGGCTGAAACAAAAATGGATCTTATTTCGACCCACTTAATGATCCGACCCTAGGTTTTTCGAATCTTCTTCTTCTCCAAATCTGTAACAACTGCTCTTTCTTGAATAAATTATGTCTGAAATTCAGTGAGGATTTCTACTAGGGCTGTGCATAATTTGGTAAATACCGAATTACCATACCGAAATCGAATTTTTTGGTATTTGGTTTATATTTAAAAAAAAATTTGTATTAGGTATGATATTTGGTATTTTTTTAAAAAATATCGAAATACCGATACCATATCGAAATATATATTGGATTAATTTTAAATATCCTGCCATCCTTGCAGCCCGCAGTTACCAGAGAGCTTAAGGAGAATGTTTCTAGTTCCATGTTCTTTAGTTAAAGCCTGTGCACCACATATTTTTGTCTATATGGTTAATAGATGTTACCCAAATGATTTATGTAAACAACACTTGTGAAAAACTTATATTGGTCACATTTGAGAAGCTTATTGGTGTCTGGAGATGCAAGTTACAACTTTAAACCAGACATGCTTACATGTTGATGAAGTTTGTAAACATTATTCTAATCTTATGCTCTTGTTTATAGAAGTCCCATATATGATGTGTAGTGTTATTGCATTCATAAGATTAATTTTGTTGGCTAGTTATAATTTTAATTTTGCTGCTAGTTAAGGTGTTATTCTCCCCTAAATATAACATTCAGAAGCTGTCTTAGAACCGAATAAACCGAAGTTACCGTACCGAATAAACCGAAACTGAAAGGCAAAAAGTCGAACCATACCGAATTTCATTAGGTACGATATTGGTATAGCATTTTAGGATACCAAATACTAAAAATACCGAATCGAAACATCTAAATACCGTACCGTTACGACCAACGAACGCCCCTAATTCCCACATTGTTTTTGCTTCAGTTTTAGTCATCTCATGTTTAGCTCTTTTTTAGACCACGGTTAAAAGTTCATCCCATTCTTCTATATAACCACTTTATGCCCCCTCTGCTCCGACTCATTACACTTGCACAAAAATCACACCCGTGGTTTCCACTTCCACCCGTTCGGTTCTTCAAACTCTGCCGCTGCCGGTAATTTTTCCCTGCCACTGTCTTCCCTCGGATTCCGACAATCCAGCTATTTCACGGTTGCAGTTGCAACCTGTGCTTCCGTCAAAATTGAATCCACTACTTCAAGGTATTTGACTTTGCCTCTTAACCTAGTCCCTGCTTTATGCTGAATAAATGGGTTTGAATGGAGGAGTAAAATGGATCTTGAATCGAGAAGAAAAAGAAAGAAAAATATGGATTTAAGAAGAAATAGAATGGTTTGAATCTGGAACAGGAGTAAGATGGTTGGAAAATGATTTTGATCTGGCCAAAAAGAAAAAGAATGAATGAGACTCGTGGTTTTAACCGGGGGCGGGCCCACATTGGTGGTTCAAGACTTCAAGTGGTCCCGTTTCGTAAATATTTTTTACTGTCTGTGTGTGAAAATTATTTTTTGAATAAAAAAGAAATTTTTATATTCTTATATACTATTTGAAACTTTATTATCCTTCATACTCAAGTCTCAATTTAATTACATATTATATACAAATTTACCAATTATATACATTTTAGAAATTAAATGAGTATCCATTTATATTACGAATCAATTATTTCACATCCTTATTTTCTCTCCATCGCTCTCTCTCTCTCTCCGTCTCTCTCTCCTGCGCTTTCTCTCTCTCTCTCTCTACGTCTCTCTCTATCTCTCAATCCCTAATTCCAGTAATGTAGAGTAAAGGGAAAGAGAGTAGCAATTCTATGCTTATTGAAATTTCAGTAACGTAGAGCTAAAGGTGTTGTACAATTGGTGTTCAAATTCCAGTAATGTTGCACAATTGGTGTTCAAATTGAAATTGTCAATCAATAAATTTTGAAGGTGTTTGACTCTCCACAATTGACAACCATTAAAAAGTTTTGAAACTTTGAATTTGAATTTGGGTTTTCAGAAACCGTTATTTGTTTGGATTGGATATTGTTGCAAACAAATGGAAAATATTGTTTGGAGTTTATATCTCAATTTTGAGGGTGTTTTTGTGAAGATTAGACTTGATTTTGGCAGAATTTCAGATTGAAACTCGAAGAAGAAGAAGAAAAAGAAGAAGAAGAAAACATGACATACATTATACTTACGAAATTGTAGTAAAGTTGTAGTATAATTGTAGAAAAAATATATTCTGTTGCTTATTGTGATGACCCAAAATATTATTTTTAAATTTAATAAATAATTATGTATTCTAAGACCTCGAAAAGCACCACTTATCATTTCTCGACTTGCGTGCTCAGTCCGTACAATTTTTCGGGAAGATTTTATGTGAAAAATGGATTAAAATATGAAATAGAGCTTTAAAACTCAACTGAGTTGACTTTGGTCAACATTTTGAGCAAACATACCCGGATCAGTATTTTGACAATTTCGGAAGGTCCGTATCATGATTTGGGACTTGGGCGTATGCCCGGAATCGAATTCCGAGGTCCCTAGCCCGAGATATGGAATTTTGATGAAAGTTTAAAAGCTTGAAAGCTTAATGATTTTTAAGAAATTACTGATATTGGATTTATTGATCTCGGGCCCGTATTTTGGTTTCGGAGCCCGGTACAGGTTTAATATAATATATATAAGTCATGTCTGTGAAATTTGGTAGAAATCGGAGTTGATTTAACGTGATTCGGACGTCCGGTTGAGAAGATAGTAGTTTTGAAATGTTCTTAAGGAATTCATGAGTTTTGGTGCTAAAACCATAGTTTTAGGTGTTAGTTTTGTGATTTGATCGCACGAGTAAGTTCGTATGATGTTTTTAGACTTGCGTGCATGTATGGTTTGGAGCCCCGAGGGCTCGGGTGAGTTTCAGATAGGCCACGTGATGTTTTGAACTTAGAAAATTTTGCTGGTATAACTGAACCCGTTGCAAGCCTCTGATCTCGCAATTTCGAGATCAGGCATCGCAAATGCGAACCAAGCAGGTATGGCAATTGCGAGGTTTTTATCGCAATTGCGAAGAAAGCATAGGCCAGCAGTTCACGCAATTGCGAGTTTATCTTCGCAATTGCGAAGGGCCAATTATCGCAAATGCGACATAATCTTCACATTTGCGAAGGCAACGGGATTGTGAAGGGCATCGCAATTGCGAGTGTTCCTTCGCATTTGCGAAGCTCAGGTCGCAATTGTGACACCTGCAGCTGAACAAAATGACTTTTGGACGGGATTTTTGATTCATTTCCCAAATCTTCAAAACCTAAAACCTCAAGAGACGATTTTGGGCGATTTTCACGGAAAAGCATTGGGGTAAGTGTTTCTTATCCTATATTGATTATATTTCATGATTTCATACTCATTTGTATCATGAATCCGTAAATTTATGGAAGAAAAAATCAGTTTTTTCTAAAATCTTCCAAAAACGAAAATTTAAGATTTAAAGGTCCATTTGATATCGGAATTGGATAATTTTTGTATGGTTGGACTCGTCTCTGAATGGGTGCTCGGATTTCGTAAGTTTTTTCGAGATTTGAGACGTGGGTCCTACTACCGAATAGTTTAATGAATTTTAGATTTTATCCGAAAAATTAGTAAATTCATATGGAATTAATTCCTATGATTCGTATTGAGTATATTGAATTGCTTGTGAATAGATTTGAAGCTTTCAGAGATAAATTTAAAAAAAAAAGCTGTGGTTGAGTAATTGATTGAAATTTGCAAAGCAAGTTAAGTGTCGTGGTTAACCTTGACTTGAGGGAATAAAACCCTTAAATTATTTGTTATGTGAATTGCAGAGTGTCTATACGCCGTCAAATTAATTATTTTCCTGCTTACTTGAAAAATCATAAATTATTTTAAATCATGAATTAATTATTATAATAATTATTTTCCTCCTATTCTTTGTCAAATATTAATTCTTGAATTCCTGCATTAATTGTTACATGCTATTTGAATTATGTGCCTTAATTATTATTTGACATTTAACATATTAAATATTAAACTGCCTATTTTCTCCCTGATTGTCATAATAATTTGCTATTTGTCATTGTTTGTTTCATAATTAAATCATAATAATTGTATGCTTGTTGTCTTATAATTTTATATTAATTGTTATATTTATTGGAAAAATTTCATCTATAAGAATTGGTAAATGAATATGTTGGAGAAGCGGGTTGCATGCCGCAACATGATTGATTATAATGAATACATTGGAGGATCGGATTGCACGCCGCAACAGACTTATTAAAAGTCTATATTGGAGGATCGGGTTTCACG